TGAGCTGAGACTTGCCAAGAATATCAAGAGCAACAAAAAGGGCTTCTTTCAGCATGTAAATAGGAAGAGGAAGGGGAGACAAGTGGTGGGACCACTAAGTAAGGAGGAAGGAGATCCAGTGACTGATATGAGGGAACAGGCACAGATGCTAAATGACTATTTTGCCTCTGTGTTCTCCCCAAAGCAGGATGGGGGATATTCGCATAGGAGATTAGATGAGGCTGGGGACTTAGGGGCACAGATTAGAGCCACCCCCCCCCCTTGAAGTCGAGAGGCTCCTCAGGGCATTGGACATTACAAAGGCGCCAGGCCCTGACGGGTTACACCCAAGAGTACTTAGAGAGTTGGCAGGGGTTCTCTCACGCCCGCTGGCCTCCATTTTTAAGACCTCGTGGAGAATGGGTGAAGTTCCAGAGGACCGGAGAGTGGCATCAGTGGTCCCAATTTTCAAAAAGGGTAGTAGAAAGGACATGGGGATTTACAGACCGGTTAGCCTTATGTCCATTGCAGGAAAAACAATGGAAAGGCTCGTAATACCGAGAGATCTAGTGATGCTAGATAGGGAAGGGAGGCTGACAGCCACACAACACGGCTTCCACAAAAACAGGTCCTGCCAGACAAACCTGGTGGAATTCTATGACAAGGTTTCGAGATGGCTCGATGGAGGGGATGCAGTAGATGTGGTATACCTGGATTTCAGCAAGGCCTTTGACAGAGTGCCCCATGATATCCTGGTGGAGAAACTGAGGAGTTTTGGGATACACCAAAGCACTGTCCGCTGGATTAGGGCATGGTTGGCTGACCGAAAGCAGACGTTAACCAATAGCAGGGAATCATCGGGATGGCGGCCAGTAACAAGCGGGGTCCCCCAGGGCTCTGTCCTGGGGCCGATCTTGTTTAATCTTTTCATAAATGACATGGAAGAAGGGGTGAACAGTCTGCTGATCAAATTCGCAGACGATACTAAAGCTGGAGCAGTGGCCACAACTGAGGAGCAGGTACTCCAGATCCAAAAGGATCTGGACAGACTATGGAAGTGGGCAGTAGACAACAGGATGGCGTTCAATGTGGATAAGTGCAAAGTCTTGCACTTGGGGCATAGGAATAGCTGTCATAAGTACAGGTTAGGGGACAAGTGGCTGGAAAGCAGCACTTGTGAAAGGGACCTCGGGGTACTGGTTGAATGCAGGCTAAACATGAGTCAGCAGTGTGATGCGGTGGTCAAGAGGGTGAACGCCACCCTTGGTTGCATAGCCAGAAGCGTGGCTTCTAGATCAAGAGAGGTATTACTACCACTCTACATGACTCTGGTGCGCCCGCAATTGGAGTATTGTGTTCAGTTTTGGGCCCCTCATTACAGAAAGGATATAGCCAGGTTGGAGTCAGTGCAGCGTAGGGCCACCAACCTTGTGGCCCTA